CATCCATCGTTTACGGCCGGCAGCCGTTATACTCTCTGTCCTAATTTGGCCACTCCATGCCTTAATGTTGGCGGTCCACATTGTTCTTTTCCTACACTTAGCATTTTGCCCGATTATCTTGCCTTCGTGTACTTCCTTCATAATGGTCTAATATGGTTTCACATAGAACGTGCCATGTTGAAACGACGCAACGAGTCAGATTGAGGCGTTCGGATTCCAGCTCTTACAAAGTATGTCAAATGTTGGCGAAAACTGTAAGCGCCATGCATTGTGATTACTAAGTAGGCCTACTTTCATCCTTTTTGTCGTTCCAGCTGTTGATCCCTTTCCGCCCTTTTTTTTCCTGTTTCCTTAATTTCTTGATCTTCTTATTCGCCTCGTTCTTCTTGTTCTTTTTCTCGTTTCCGTTCTTCTTGGGTTTTTAAAAAATCCTGTTCTTGTTCTTGAGTATCATCGACACAATAAGTACTGGATTTTTCGGGCTGATTCCTTCGATTCTGGTAGGCAGTGCTAATCCTAGCCCGCGAGATACGGTTTAAAATAGAGATAAGATTGGGAAACTCAGCTGTTTGTTTTCTAACATAGGAATCAAACCTCCGTCCTCTCCTTAAAAGGCAAAGAACCTAAATTTTATTTTACACAGCCCCTAGATCCGTCCTTCCATGACAGACTATTTTGGATAGATAGATAGATAGATAGATAGATAGATAGATAGATAGATAGATAGATAGATAGGTCGAAAGACTTCAATACAACATTTGCGACATATAGATTTGAAACACTTTGTTAAGAGCTGATCAAAACGAAAAAAGAACCATTCAGTTATCAGATATATTCGAGATATAATGATTATTATTCCGGGAGCATGACATCTCTTAATCTTTAAAGAAATCTGAAGTTATGACACAGGTCATTAGCTTTCTTCGTGTCCCTTTGGAAATGATATAACACGAAATCTAGTATTCAAGAGAAATGTCAATATTACCTTATAAGTGCTAATTCCGTTTCGCCAAGCAGACCGCAAGTTATCGTTTTGTCCCCCAGACGTGAAAGCAAACGTAAACGACATGTTTTCGCTAAAAGTGCAAACGGTAGACAATTAAAATAATCAAGAATCAGCACTTCATTGTCAAGTGATTCTTCATCGAACAAGTCTATACTAAGCGGGGTCTATTATGCATCAAACACACGAAGAGAATTGGCTTGGATCCAAAACATCTTACGCAAGGAAAATAGCAAGCGGCATAGTGTTTTGTTTTAGAAGGTCCGAAAAGAAACGTCTAACTCTCAGAAAAATCTATGACAAAGAAGAAGATACGATCTCGACAGTCGAATCGATCAATGAACATCAGCTGTTGGGTAATAACCAAAAATCGAAGCATCGATGAGAGCTGATGTGTGATCTAAATCTTTCCCCGGAACAGCCTAATTGAGGGAACAAGAGAACATGACAGGTTCTTTTTTTTATTGTGGGAGGGGAGGGGGTGGGTAATGGATGCATGTGCCGGGAGGGGGTGGGCAGGCGTGTATTTGGAGAGGAGGGGCAGATCATCGCTTCTATGGTTCACGCGTTTGGATGGCTTATGAGCAAACGTCACGTTTGAACGTGACATTTCATTGTTCTGAGACTGTTTACTCACTGAATAGCGCGGTAATTGACCCCCTCAATGACTCGTTGAACATAATCCTATCATTACTTGCAGCCAGTCGATCAACCCACAGCTTCCCGGCGACCGGTCGTCTTTCTGTGAACTGTAAACACGCAGAAGAGTCAGATTCTGTCGGAGTTAATGTAAACAGTCAATATTTTTATCTCTTAATAAAGATCGCTAGGCTGATAACTGACAAGACGAAAGTAAAATCGAAAAAAAGCCATTAGTAAGTGAACACTAGCCCACATTCTTGACGTGTTTTAGAACCTGATTCCGTAAAGGCGGGTTGCCTAATTTTCCGAGAGCAACTGAGACAGTGAATTCTAGCAATGTACAGTATTTGAAGGAATTAATCAGTTATGTAGATTCGGTGAGCTAATTCAACAATATAGACTGTGAATCAAGCAATAAAGACTCAGTTAATCAAGCAATAATATAGACTCGATGTATTACGCAACATATATTTGGTGAATGAATGCAGCAATATAGACTTGGTAAATGATTTCAGGTAGATATGAAGAACGAATTTAGCAATGTAGACTCTGTGAATTCAGTGATATAGACTTGTCGAATTCAACAATACGGTCTCAGTGAATTCAGCAATACAGACTCAGTGTTTGAATTCAGCAGGAGACTCGGGGAATTATCTTAAGTAGATTTGTGGAATAAATTCAGCAATATCAACGAGGCGAATTTTGCAATATAGACTCCGTAAATACAGACAGAGTCTCATTGTATGCAGCAACACAGATTCGATGAAACAGACAAAGAGAATTGGTTACCCCAGAAATATAAACTCGGTGAATACAACAACAGAGACCCAGCAAATACAGCGATATAGACGTCGTGAATTCAGCAACAGATAGTTGGTTGATTCAGACTTGTTCAAAATGACCATTTTATACAAAGGATTCAGTCCGTCGTCCGTTAAACAGAAGATGATAATCGTGTTATGCCTCTGCTTCCGGACAGTTTTCGCGCAGACGTATGAAGAGACAAAGGCAATCTACGACGACAAATTACTCCCAAGTGTCTACAATACAAACGTAAGTTCCTCTACCACCATTCTGAACTCCATTTTGCTTATATTTTTACGTTTGATTTATTTCGTTTTCAATAATAGAATTGGTATTAATGTGGTGCATGATTATTAATTTAAACTATTATTGCTGTTCTGGTTAGTTCTGTTTCCATTTAGATTCGATTTGTTTTCTTTTCTTCCATTTGGATAAAATTTTAATAATACAAGTTTCGGCTGAAAATGTCATTATTCATTAGTGTAATGCATTGCCACCATTTTAAGGACGCCTAGTCTAAATTCAAGCTTTCATTTTTTAATGTTATCACCCTTCTAAGATAGTGTAGATATCAAGGTACGGTAACATTTGCAATACCTGTCGTCATTACACAGTTACGCTAGTTTCAAGAAACAAATACTCTTGTCTGTGGTGTAGATGTCAGGCATTCCCTGTCGCTCAGGGGAGACTTGAGTTTGATTCCTAAATCGGGAGAATTATTTTACAAGTATCTCGGTCTTTCTGCTGGGATGTTGTATCCCTCTCAGCCCAGGCAAGACCTGGCAGTTGGGAGTCTAGAGGCAGCCTCCTAAATAATCTAAACTGTGTCGAAAGTGTTTCAATTAGGGCGTAAAAGCTTCTATATTAGAACACAGGACCAAATAATTGAAGGAATGAATTAGTTATGTAGATTCAGTGAACTAATTCAGCAATATAGAGGGTGAATCAAGCAATAATATAGACTAAGTGTATCAAGAAACATAGACTTATTGAAAGAATGCAGCAATATTTGAATTGTGCTTATTGGGGAGTAAAACACAAAATCGCAGTACAAAATCTCAGAAAACAAACACACCCACGCATTTTGCATTACTTTACCCGATGCTACTGTTCTGTACACTTTCAGATGAGGCCCATTAACAACCAAACGGAAGTCATCACAGTGAATGTATCTTTCTTCCTTGTGTCCATAGTGGGCCTAGATGACGTCAGACAGACGTTTACCTCTAATGGCTTCCTACAACTCATTTGGATGGACGAGGTAAAGTCAGGAAATAATATTATTGTAATATTATGTGTAATAGATAGATAGATAGATAGATAGATAGATAGATAGATAGATAGATAGATAGATAGATGGATAGATAGATAGATCAAAGAAATAACTCTTTAGTGTGTGTGTTTTGTGTGCGTGTATGAGCGTGTGTATGTGTGTGTGTGTGTGTGTGTGTGTGTGTGTGTGTGTGTGTGTGTGTGTGTGTGTATGTGTGTGTGTGGGTGTGTGTGTCAGTTCATGGGTGAATGTATGTGTGTAAGTGTAATTGTATGTGTGTGTTTGCGTGTGTGTGTGTATCTATGTATGTGCTCGTGTATGTATGCGTTTGTTTGTATATGTGTTTGAGTGGGCCATGCCTTTAAAATCTCCCCCCTTTAAAATTTTTTCGGGCAAAAAGAACATGTTAACCCCCCCCCCCCCTTTGGGAATGGCCTAAAGACACTTCAGTAAATAGCTGTGCCTTGGGGGGGGGGGGGGGGGTGACGTGAGTTTGACATTTGAACTGAAGCTACAATTGCGTATCGCTTCTTAAATAAATTAATAGTTCAAATAGATACTTTAAACCTATAAACTTGTTTTTATTTTCTTGTCACTTAGGCGTTGTTGTCCTTGCTCGTAGACTTGTCTGATCAGTAACACACGGGATGTTTTTACTTTAAATTTAGAAAACGTTTTACGGCAATTGCATCACAAATAATTAGTCATCTAAGCGCCCAAGATTACAAGCGTTAGTGGAAAGAAATATACACGGAAAATATTTACGCGAACTAAGAATGATAGTTGCTTGACAGGGAAGACGTAAACCACACCAGAAAGCCCAAAGAACAAACCAATTACAAGGGATATGTTCTTACTGAAAAGATCGTCATTTCTAATATTGGATCTGAATTTCTAACCCATTTACCTACCTCATGTATATTATCAATATCAAAATTGCAGACTCACACATTGTGTCCTTATTTACATTAGTGGATTATGTTGTTAGACGGGAGTATATCAATGAATATCATTCTGGTTTGAGTTTGTTCTGTTATTTTACAACGTTGTATCGATGTGCTTCTCTTTACTCAAACAAAGAAACAAACATTGGCACAAAACAGACATGATTTAGTATGCTCGACCCAAGTATATTTCATTTCAACATATGTCCTCTCAATTCATCCCCCACCCCATTCACTCTCACTCTCACCCCCCCCCCCCTCTTCCTTTTTTTAATCTCCAAACATCCCCCTTCCATATGTTTTTACAGACCTCTCAAATGTTTTACAGACCTCTGATAGTTGAGGATTCAGGAACCACCTTATGGTTCCCAGGCGGCCTCTTCCCAGCTTCGTGTGCCATGGATGTGACCAACTTCCCATTTGATGAACAGAAGTGCACACTGACGGTACATTACAATTTTTTGTGTGTGTTACAATCCTGTATTGTGGCGTTGGTGGCACAAAGTGTTTAGGCTACCTGTCCCCGTCGTTTTATGCAAGAACAATTCCGAAATTATGCAAACTGAGCCCAAAAAATGTGAAATTATGAGATTCTGTTAATTTTAACAAAGAATGGTAAAGAAAAATAATCAGAAATTATGCCCCCCAAAAAAGATCAAATTTGTATTAAATTATGCGTGGTTCGAGCCGTGGGTCCAACGTTGTGCCCTTTTGAAAGGCACTTTACACGAATTTTCCTTACTTCACCAAGGTGGGAATGGGTACCCGGCCTTAGAGAGCGAAAGATCTTGTCAGTTTGTTAGTGTTTTGGCGCCTTTTAAATTGCCGCTTGCACTTTATTCTTCCTAAGAAGTTGAGGTAGTTTCAGAATGCTCTCCTGGTCTGCAGGGGTAATAATGTTGATTGTGAAGCGCTTAGAGCTTGCTGTTGAGCGGGGATTTGCGCTATACAAATGCTATATATCTATTAGTAGTAGTAGTATTATCATTATTATTATTATTATTATTATTATTATTATTATTATTATTATTATTATTATTATTATTATTATTATTATTATTATTATTATTATTATTAATACTATTATCATTATTATGATCATTTCCAAACAAATACTTACAAAGCTTTTCGAAAGCTTTTAAACCTTCAGAGGAAGACATAAGTGTGATGTAGAGAAAAAATCTTGCCTATTTGTTAGTGCTTTTTCGCCTGTAGAATAGTAGATGGCTCTGATGTAATCTTCCCAGTAAGCTGAGCTTGTTTCAGACTGCTATCAGGTCATTAATGGTTATACAGTCGAACCTGCTCTAACGCATGCAGTATAAGACAATCCCCTGTACAAAGGACCACCCCCCCCCCCTTGCCAAA